ATCAAAATATATTTTATATTTGAGATTCTTCAAAGTAGCCACCCTTTGCCTTGATGACAGCTTTGCACACTCTTGGCATTCTCTCAACCAGCTTCATGAGGTAGTCACCTGGAATGCATTTCAATTAACAGGTGTGCCTTGTTAAAAGGTCATTTGTGGAATTTCTTTCCTTGTTAATCATTTGAGCCAATCAGTTGAGTTGTGACAAGATAGGGGGGGTGTATACAGAAGATAGCCCTATTTGGTAAAAGACCAAGTCCATATTATGGCAAGAACAGCTCAATTAAGCAAAGAGAAACGACAGTCCATCATTACTTTAAGACATGAAGGTCAGTCAATTGGAATGGAACATTTCAAGAACTTTGAAAGTTTCTTCAAGTGCAGTCGCAAAAACCATCAACCGCTATGATGAAACTGGCTCTCATGAGGACCGCCACAGGAAAGGAAGACCTAGAGTTACCTCTGCTGCAGAGGATAAGTTCATTAGAGTTACCAGCCTCAGAAATTACAGCCCAAATATGTGCTTCACAGAGTTCAAGTAACAGACACATCTCAACATCATCTGTTTAGAGGAGACTGCATGAATCAGGCCTTCATGGTCGAATTGCTGCATAGAAACCACTACTAAAGGACACCAATAAGAAAAAGAGACTTGCTTGGGCCAAGAAACACAAGCAATGGACATTTGACCGGTGGAAATCTGTCCTTTGTTCTGAAGTCCACATTAGAGATGTTTGGTTCCAACCGCTTTGTCTTTGTGAGACGCAGTGTAGGTGAACGGATTATCTCCACTTGTGTAGTTCCCACCGTGAAGCATGGAGGAGATGTGATGGTGTGGGGGTGCTTTGCTGGTGACACTGTCACTGGTGACAAATTCAAGGCACACTTAACCAGCATGGCTACCACAGCATTCTGCAGCGATACGCCATCCCATCTGGTTTGGGCTTAGTGGGACAATCATTTGTTTTTCAACAGGACAATGACCCAACACACCTCCAGGCAATGTAAGGGATATTTGACCAAGAAGGAGAGTGATGGAGTGCTGCATCAGATGACCTGACCTCCACAATCCCCCGACCTAAACCCAATTGAGATGGTTTGGGATGAGTTGGACCGCAGAGTGAAGGAAAAGCAGCCAACAAGTGCTCAGCATATGTGGGAACTCCTTCAAGACTGTTGGAAAAGCATTCCAGGTGAAGCTGGTTGAGAGAATGCCAAGCGTGTGCAAAGCTGTCATCAAGGCAAAGGGTGGCTACTTTGAAGAATCTAAAATTTAAGGCCGCACTCAATGAGCTGTATACGGCCATAAGCAAACAGGAAAACGCTCATCCAGAGGCGGCGCTCCTAGTGGCCGGGGACTTTAATGCAGGGAAACTTAAATCCGTTTGACCTAATTTATACCAGCATGTTAAATGTGCAACCAGAGGGAAAAAAACTCTAGACCACATTTACTCCACACACAGAGACGCGTACAAAGCTCTCCCCCGCCCTCCATTTGGAAAATCTGACCATAATTCTATCCTCCTGATTTCTGCAAGCAAAAACTAAAGCAGGAAGCACCAGTGACTCGGTCAATAAAAAAGTGGTCAGATGAAGCAGATGCTAAGCTACAGGACTGTTTTGCTAGCACAGACTGGAATATGTTCTGGGATTCTTCCGATGGCATTGAGGAGTACACCACATCAGTCACTGGCATCATCAATAAGTGCATCGATGACGTCGTCCCCAGTGACTGTACGTACCCCAACCAGAAGCCATGGATTACAGGCAATATCCGCACTGAGCTAAAGGGTAGAGCTGCCGCTTTCAAGGAGCGGGACTCTAACCCGGAAGCTTATAAGAAATCCCGCTATGCCCTCCGACAAACCATCAAACAGGCAAAGCGTCAATACAGGACTAAGATTGAATCGTACTACACCGTCTCCGACGCTCGTCGAATGTGGCAGGGCTTGCAAACTATTACAGACTACAAAGGGAAGCACAGCCGCGAGCTGCCCAGTGACACGAGCCTACCAGACGAGCTAAATTTATTCTATTCTCGCTTCGAGGCAAGTAAAACTGAAACATGCATGAGAGCATCAGCTGTTCCGGATGACTGTGTGATCACGTTCTCCGTAGCCGATGTGAGTACGACCTTTAAACAGGTCAATATTACCAGGACGTGTACTCCGATCCGAGCATGCGCTGACCAACTGGCAAGTGTCTTCACTGACATTTTCAAACTCTCCCTGTCTGAGTCTGTAATACCAACATGTTTCAAGCAGACCACCATAGTCCCTGTCCCCAAGAACACTAAGGTAACCTGCCTAAATGACTACTGACCCATAGCACTCACGTCTGTAGCCATGAAGTGCTTTGAAAGGCTGGTCATGGCTCACATCAACACCATTATTCCAGAAACCATAGACCCACTTCAATTTGCATATGGCCCCAACAGATCCACAGATGATGCAATCTCTATTGCGCTCCACACTGCCCTTTCACACCTGGACAAAAGGAACACCTATGTGAGAATGCTATTCAATGACTACAGCTCAGCGTTCAACACCATAGTGCCCTCAAAGCTCATCACTAAGCTAAGGACCCTGGGACTAAACACCTCCCTCTGCAACTGAATCCTGGACTTCCTGACGGGCCGCCCCCAGGTTGTAAGGGTAGGTAACAACACATCCGCCACGCTGATCCTCAACACAGGGGCCCCTCAGGGGTGCGTGCTCAGTCCCCTCCTGTACTCCCTGTTCACTCATGACTGCATGGCCAGGCACGACTCCAACACCATCATTAAGTTTGCCGATGACACAACAGTGCTAGGCCTGATCACCAACAACAACGAGACAGCCTATAGGGAGGAGGTCAGAGACCTGTGGCCGTGTGGTGCCAGGACAACAACCTCTCCCTCAACGTGATCAATACAAAGGAAATGATTGTGGACTACAGGAAAAAGAAGAGGACCGAGCACGCCCCCATTCTCATCGACAGGGCTGTAGTGGAGCAGGTTGAGAGCTTCAAGTTCCTTGGTGTCCACATCACCAACAAACTAACATGGTCCAAGCATGAAGAGGGCACGACAAAACCTATTCCCCCTAAGGAGACTGAAAAGATTTGGTATGGGTCCTCAGATCCTCAAAAGGTTCTACAGCTGCACCATCGAGAGCATCTTGACTGGTTGCATCACTGCCTGGTATGGCAACTGCTCGGCCTCCGACCGCAAGGCACTACAGAGGGTAGTGCGTACGGCCCAGTACATCACTGGGGCCAAGCTTCCTGCCATCCAGGACCTCTATACCAGGCGGTGTCAGAGGAAGGATCTATAAATTGTCAAAGACTCCAGCCACCGTAGTCATAGACTGTTCTCTCTGCTACCGCAAGGCAAGTGGTACCGGAGCGCCAATTCTAGGTCCAAGAGGCTTCTAAACAGCTTCTACCCCCAAGCCATAAGACTCCTGAACATCAAATCAAATGGCTACCCAGACTATTTGCATTGCCCCCCCCACACACCCCTCTTTAAAGCTGCTGCTACTCTCTGTTTATTATCTATGCATAGTCACTTTAATAACTCTACTTACATGTACATATTACCCCAATTACCTCGACTAACCGGTACCCCCTGTATATAGCCTCGCTATTGTTATTTTTACTGCTGCTCTTTAATTATTTGTTACCTTTATTTCGTATTATTTTATATAGTATTTTTTTGTATATTTGTTTGTTTGTTTTTGATTGATATTTTTACTTTTTAAATTATTATAATTTTTGTTTTTATAATATTATTATTATTATTATTATTATTTGTATTCTTTCTTAAAACTGCATTGTTGGTTAAGGGCTTGTAAGTAAGAATTTCACTGTAATGTCTACACCTGTTGTATTTGGCGCTTGTGACAAATACAATTTTATTTGAAATATAAAATATATTTTGATTTGTTTAACACTTTTTGGATTACTACATGATTCCATATGTGTTATTTCATAGTTTTGTTCTCTTCACTATTATTCTACAATGTAGAAAATAGTTAAAATAAAGAAAAACCCTTGAATGAGTAGGTGTGTCCAAACTTTTGACTGGTACTGTATGTAAATTGTCTGTAATGTATTTTTCGTTATATGTCAGACCCCAGTAAGACTAGCTGTCGCCATTGGCGTCGGCTAATGGGGATCCTAATAAATCGAATCACTCTCAGAATTTAAAACAAAACCTATCATTGTATGGGTTTCAATTAACTACTTTGGTGCATGCAGGCGTAAATGTTGCTTTGGGGGCCTTTGTGTCTCAACTAGAGAATAATATAGGGGAAAGACTGCACTAGGCTACATTTTGACCAGTTCTGACAGGATTTTTCAACAATGGAGTTAAAGTTGTAATGGTCAAATGCTTGTCGCATTCTTCAGTATGAAACTGCGGGGCGTGATAAAACAAATTAGTCAGAAATGTAACCTAAAGTTCACCAATGTCACTCTCACTCTCACACTCACACTCACACACTTTTATTGCAGCCTACCATGGGGAAAAAATAGAGCATATAAAAGTTGCCTAAGCTTAACACAACTGGACAGACAGAGAGAGAGACAGACAGATACTTAATTGGTGCACTTGTTCTACAGACCACCCCACCCTATTTTGTCCCACAGCGCGAGGGTCAGGCACCCTCCCAGCGGCATCCAGACTTTCCCATTCAATAAAGCATCCCCCCAGACCACACCATAACCCTTCCTATCACTAACTAGCTATAGCACCAACCACCATTACCTACACTACAGTTGGGCTTTGCATGCATACTGTCAACCCTGTATTCAGTAATAACAGGTTATAGTAAGGTAATGCCCATGTAGAGGTAAATTGAAAAAATTATGTTTCTTAGCAGCAGGGGTCAGGGGTAGCATTAAGGACTGTGTTGGCTGTTAATGTCAACACAGCAGGTCGATAAGGCAGAGAGCTGGGAGTTGTACAGGCCAGGGCGACTCGGAGCTAACCAAGGGTTAACCCGGCTACTGCACCATCCTTACCGGCTGTACTTGCTTTCTTCAATAAACTCAAAGTAGCCCCTTCCATGTTCCTCCCGGCGTCTCTTAACACCCTTCTTATTCTTCTGCTCAGCGCTCGTGTCTTTGTCCGCATCCCCTTTGGAAATAAAACAATAACAAAGCAGGTATTGAGGTGCGTCCCGCCCCCCAAGTGTGCGGTGCGTCCCGACCCAGGTGTTACATGATGGTCCACACAGTTCAGCTAGGTGGCTAGGTAGGTGTTTTGGTTTGTCAGGTATCTACATGAGTTGCAATGTATCCACTACAAAGGGAAGGGTAGATCTTAAAATAATTAAAGATATGGTGATCTGGAGTCATGAATAACAAGGACCCATCAAAAGCAATAACAATACCCCCTTTAATACCAGTTAGTACCCCCCCCCCCCCATGGATATTGATATGTTTGTGAAGGACCACACATTTTCAGTTTCTACAGCCATGCCAGCCTTGACCAAATACTAACTCAGTATTTACTGTATTAATAAAATGTTAAAAAACAAACCAAGCTAGATACGACTAGCAGCTAGCTAGATAACTTGTCTTTCACATTTCCTAAAACCAACGTTATAAAACTAGGCTATGCGCACAGACTTATTTATACCTATGGAATAACAAACCGTCTCACGGGAAAATATAGTCAGCCTGCTGCGTTCTCTCTCGCCAGTAGGAGCCACTGTTTCGCACTTTAGCAGCTAATGCTAGCTAGCTAGCTAGCTAGCCAACGACCAACTGCACACCAGAAAGTGTATCTTTGTCTGCCGCTTGAAGAAATGCAAACCCGGCACACAAAAACAGTGCGTAAAAACATACACCTGTCAAGTGCAACCGTACAAAACCTTATTGTCTACAAGTAGCTAGCTACATGGATCCTCGCAGAAATTCCGACCTAGCTGGCAAGCTTAGCAGGCTAACCGGTTGACCTATCTTTGATTCTGAACTGTCATTCAAGACGTGAACGCTAGCCGCTGCACCATGCAGCAGGGTCGATTAGCTGGCTTGCATCGCTTACCCTCGCCAGGGAGAGCCCCTAGTGCAGCAGCATCATCATCATCATCATCATCGAATTTGTCCATCTCCTCCTCCTCCTCCTCATCATCATCATCTTTCAGTAGAGCATCTTCATCCTCGTCCGATTTATCCATATCTACTCCCGCATCCTCCTCTTCCCCCATATCATCGTCGATATCGGCGCATTCATTCTCTGCTTTCCCTTCGCCACTATCTCCATCCTCCACTCCGTCCGCCTCCATGCTCTCCTCAACCAGGTCTTCATCCAAGTCCTCCACGCCCATGTCATTCAGGCCGACAGCCCCGTCGCCTTGGCGGTCGTTCTCCCCGGACTCAGCTCCTCCGGCTAGAGCCTCTTCATTAAGCGCGGCCTGCAGCCGGTCCATAAGATCCGCCTTCAGCCCCTTGTCCGATAGCTGCCTCTTCTTCAACTCGTCCTTCAACTCGTTTACCTTTAACTTCTTCACGTTGATAGAGCTCATTGTGTTATCTATTAAATAATTAAATAAATATCGATACAATTCGATAAAAAAATCCCTATTGTCGACTGTGTTTTTGAAATTCGAAACACTAAGACAAAAGCCCGGTGCAACGATGGCGGACTTGGTGATAGCAGTCGCCTATAATTTCCACTGCGCCAAGCCCGCACCCTTTCTAACCACGTCCCACTACTGACATCTGTGCTGCTGCTGAGAGCATGCCAGGGGCAGTAATATAGCCCTACCGTAATGACACGAATAAACCAGTCAGCTTTTATTCAGTAGTCTCATACCACATAACAGCCGTGCATCCCTACCGTGGCTTTTATCTATCGTTGTGGCCAAAGGCTACCGTCATCATTGACATATGAAGCTAATATTTTTCACAATTCGTTACGCATCCAAAAAAGTCTGGCTTTGGACCGTGCAATAGAAATATACACTTATTTTATAAATGAGACATTAGAACACATAAACTGACATTCACTGTCAGTGTGGCCAGAACCTTCTATCTGGCCATTTATTTCCCTATTTTAATTGGTGCTTTTGTTGTGAAATACTGAATCTAACTGTTGGACTAAAATCAACTAGGGCCACATTCAGTTGCCAAACGTTATCGAACGTTGCAGATAGAAATGTAATGAATAGAGCCAACAGATTGCTTGTTGTCGGAGAGGCATGTTTGTTCTATATTAATAGTTTCTATTTGAATTTTCCAAAACGTTGAGTCCTGCCCTATTTCAGAGTGGTCCTGCCAATCAAAAGCTAGATATGGTCTCCGAGCAACAACAGTAAATAAAGAAAATGGCGGAAGACAAGGACAGCGCAGGTATGAAATGGGCTTCAAAATCAATTTAAATAGTTATTTTATCGCTCTAACTTGTAGATAAAACTAATTTGAGATCAATTTGAAAGGTGGCACTAGTTTCAGCTAACGACAGGCTTTTGATTTGTCTGTTGTATTTGCTGTTGTAGAGGCCATAGTAGCTGAGGTCCACAAGAAGATCAGCGGTGCTTTTGATGTGTTTGACCACGAGTTCAACAAGACAGTGGATGTCAGGTGAGCAGAAGTGCACTTTCTTGCAGTAACACCATTTCTACCAGAGATGCGCCTCGGATAGACACATAGCTAATATAATACAGTGCGCGGCACGGTACCATTGTTGGCCTCTTAAATTTTCTGAGATTGGACTAGCTTGGTTAGTTTACAGTGGTGAGTTCCAGAGTGATTTTCCCGATTCACCTTGGTTATTCCTGACATAAGGTATCACAGATATAGCCAGGCCCACTTAGACAGGCTTACAACAGATATGATACTAAATAGGCATACCACACTGATTTAGGTTTATACAGTGTTGTATTCTATGGTGGTGGTGTTCTCATTCTGGTGCTGTGCTTCTGTCAAAGGGAGATAGGCACTATCATCCGCTCCCTGGGCTGCTTCCCTAACGAAGGGGAGCTACATGACGTCATAGCAGAGGTAAGGGCATCCTTTTGATCAGAGACATAATAACATAATAATAATATACAGTATGTCATTTAGCAGATGCTTTTATCCAAAGTGGTTTATAGTCAACCGTGCATACGTACATTAACATACAGAGGACCACAAAGGGACATATTTAACTAACCTATGGCTGGTTTTACTCTGTTTTCTTGAAGAACAAATGCAAAGGTAGAAGGGTGCTAGAAGCCTGGGACAATCACGTAATGTAGAAGTTTTAAAAAAGAACAAAGGACCAACACTCACATACAGTGAATTCCCCACGAATTCTGCTACAATTTCAGACCATAATATTTGTGAACAAACTCTTCCCCTAGATTGAGGAGGAGGAGCCGACGGGATACATCCGCTTTGAGAAGTTCCTCCCCACCATGACCAAGGTTCTGATGGAGCGCAAGTAAGAACATAGGAGAGAGGCATGCACAGAGTCTGCTACAGTGAGGGAACAAATTATTTGATCCCCTGCTGATTTTGTACGTTTGCCCACTGACAAAGAAATGATCAGTCTATAATTTTAATGGTAGGTTTATTTGAACAGTGAGAGACAGAATAACAACAAAAAAATCCAGAAAAACGCATGTCAAAAATGTTATAAATTGATTTGCATTTTAATGAGGGAAATAAGTATTTGACCCCTCTGCAAAACATGACTTAGTACTTGGTGGCAAAACCCTTGTTGGCAATCACAAAGGTCAGACGTTTCTTGTAGTTGGCCACCAGGTTTGCACACATCTCAGGAGGGATTTTGTCCCACTCCTCTTTGCAGATCTTCTCCAAGTCATTAAGGTTTCGAGGCTGACGTTTGGCAACTCAAACCTTCAGCTCCCTCCACAGATTTTCTATGGGATTAAGGTCTGGAGACTGGCTAGGCCACTCCAGGACCTTAATGTGCCTCTTCTTGAGCCACTCCTTTGTTGCCTTGGCCGTGAGTTTTGGGTCATTGTCATGCTGGAATACCCATCCACGACCCATTTTCAATGCCCTGGCTGAGGGAAGGAGGTTCTCACCCAAGATTTGACGGTGCATGGCCCTGTCCATCGTCCCTTTGATGCGGTGAAGTTGTCCTGTCCCCTTAGCAGAAAAACACCCCCAAAGCATAATGTTTCCACCTCCATGTTTGACGGTGGGGATGGTGTTGGGGTCATAGGCAGCATTCCTCCTCCTCCAAACACGGCGAGTTGAGTTGATGCCAAAGAGCTCCATTTTGGTCTCATCTGACCACAACACTTTCACCCAGTTCTCCTCTGAATCATTCAGATGTTCATTGGCAAACTTCAGACGGGCATATATATGTGCTTTCTTGAGCAGGGGGACCTTGCGGGCGCTGCAGGATTTCAGTCCTTCACGGCGTAGTGTGTTACCAATTGTTTTCTTGGTGACTATGGTCCCAGCTGCCTTGAGATCATTGACAAGATCCTCCCGTGTAGTTCTGGGCTGATTCCTCACCGTTCTCATGATCATTTCAACTCCACGAGGTGAGATTTTCCATGGAGCCCCAGGCCGAGGGAGATTGACAGTTCTTTTGTGTTTCTTCCATTTGCGAATAATCGCACCAACTGTTGTCACCTTCTCACCAAGCTGCTTGGCGATGGTCTTGTAGCCCATTCCAGCCTTGTGTAGGTCTACAATCTTGTCCCTGACATCCTTGGAGAGCTCTTTGGTCTTGGCCATGGTGGAGAGTTTGGAATCTGATTGATTGATTGCTTCTGTGGACAGGTGTCTTTTATACAGGTAACAAGCTGAGATTAGGAGCACTCCCTTTAAGAGTGTACTCCTAATCTCAGCTCTTTACCTGTATAAAAGACACCTGGAAGCCAGAAATCTTTCTGATTGAGAGGGGGTCAAATACTTATTTCCCTCATTAAAATGCAAATAATTTTATAACATTTTTGACATGCGTTTTTCTGGATTTTTTTGTTGTTATTCTGTCTCTCACTGTTCAAATAAACCTACCATTAAAATTATAGACTGATCATTTCTTTGTCAGTGGGCAAACGTACAAAATCAGCAGGGGATCAAATACTTTTTTCCCTCACTGTAGATGGGGCTGTATCAGACAATGTAAGAACACAGAGAGAGCAGGAGAGGGAGAGAGAGAGAGAGAGAGAGAGACATACAATCAGTTGAAACACATTGATCTCAGACAGACAGAGACAAATTGGAGGATCTACCTGTACTTGACTTGTCTGGCTGTCTGGGTAGTTTCTAGGAATTCCTAGAACTGGAAACACTTGCCCTGCCTCTGTTCTTACAGGTAGCAAAACTTACCTTAGATCAGTCTATACACTCTTAGAAGAAAGGGTTCCAAAAGCGTCCTTTGCTGTCCCCATTGGAGAACCCTTTTTGGTTCCAGGTATAACCCTTTTTGGTTCCAGATAGAACCCTCAGTGGAAAGGGTTCTACATGGAACCTGAAAGATGTCTACCTGGAACCAAAAGGGGTTCTTTAAAGGGTTCTCCTATGGGGACAGCTGAAGAACCATTTTAGGTTCTAGATAGCACCTTTTTTTCTAAGAGTGAAGGGGGCAACTAAACCCTACTCCAAATGCAGACAGAGTGTGTCCAGAAGGAGGAGGTATATCTAATATAAGAGGTAGTCGTAGCTCCCTGATGAAACATGCATAATGATCCTAACCTGTTCCTGCCCGGTCTCAGTTGTAGATAAAAACTCTGTTGGCAGCACCTTATACAAACATAATATGATTGATATTGTTGACTTACTTGCAGTGATGTTCTGTATGAGATTGTGTGTGTGTGTGTGTGTGTGTGTGTTAAAGGTGTGTGTGTTCTGTAACTTCTTATCTCTCTCTCTCTCTGTGTGTGTGTGTGTGTGTGTGTGTGTGTGTGTGTGTGTGTGTGTGTGTGTGTGTGTGTGTGTGTGTGTGTGTGTGTGTGTGTGTGTGTGTGTGTGTGTGTGTGTGTGTGTGTGTGTGTGTGTGTGTGTGTGTGTGTGTGTGTGTGTGTGTGTGTGTGTGTGTGTGTGTGTGTGTGTGTGTGTGTGTGTACTATGCAGGTTCCGGCCCATCCCAGAGGACCTGCTGCTCCAGGCCTTTGAGGTGATGGACTGTATAGGTTATCTTGGATTAATTATCTCTATTGCAGACTGTATATGTTATCTTGGATTAATTCCCTCTATTGCAGACTGTATAGGTTATCTTGGGTTCCCTCTATTGTAGACGGTATAGGTCATCTTGGTTTAATTCCCTCTATTGCCGACTGTATAGGATCATACCTTGGGTTCCGTCTATGATCTTTATATTTGCTAAGAGGGAAAAACATCTAAAATCTCTTTGCAGGTTCTAGATAAGCAGAAAAAGGGACATTTGGAACTGGAGGAGCTCACAAAGTACATGACACAGGAAGGTAAGGTGAAAGCAACATAGAGCTCCTTACATAAAACCACAGAATCATTGGCCTGAAGTCACAAATATATCACATATTGTCACTGTTTATTAACATTTATGTGGGCTTTGTGTAAGGCAAGGTGATATTACAGTACTCACGCCCTCTAGTGGTCCAAGGTTTGGACAGGCACACACTGACTGATAACAATGCACTCTACAAGCATTATATGATTATATATCTCCCAGAACAACAATACAGTCTCTGGTAGACTTTAGTATTCATTCTGACCAATTTCCAGTGTGTTGGTTCCCTTGGACCAAGCAGGTGTACTTAGGACTTATTAGTATGTAATAGATGCTCAGCTGGAGTGACATTCAGCATATAATGAGTCCTCAGAATCAACCTTGAGAAACCCTGCTAGGGGGTGGCACTAGCCTCAAGGTTATAAAGGCAGGCTGGCAACTGCCATCAATACCTCAGGAGCCACCTACTGCCGTTGTGCCCTTGAGCAAGGTACACCCTAAACTGCTCCAGGGGTGCTGCTCTGTGGTTGACCCTGTGCTGTGCCCAGTGTGGTGTGTGTGTGTATGGTGTGTTTGGTGCTGTGTTAGCAAATGTTTTGGTTGTCTCTGTATAATGTATCGATAAAGATCTATTGTACGTACGTGTCCCTCTTTGCAGGAGAGCCCTTCACCCAGGAAGAGATGGAGGAGATGCTGTCAGCTGCTCTTGACCCTGACAAGAATGTAATCTTCTACAAAGACTTTGTTAGCATGATGACCGTGGATGACCCCAGATAGACTCTCAATCACACACACACGCACACACATTGCTGCTGGGAATAATGACAAATGTAACCGTTGTCTTGGGTAATTATTATATTGTTATAGATTCATAATTTGATACAGAATATAATGTGGTATTGTAAATATTTGCTGTGTCATTAAAAAAAAATCCCAGATCTGGGCTTATCGCCAAATATTGTATGGTCTCCCACTGTTGTGCTAGGCCATGCAGTGAAACCAGATGGCGCTGTGTATCCACAAACAACATGCAACCCCACGCTGCATAAATCACAGCAGCAATATGCTTTCATTCACGACACCACCACCACCCCACCTTATGTGCATAATCCTCGGAATGCGAAGCACAGATGAATTGAATGAGGATATTCATGAATAGGACTATAAACTGGAGCTTTCGTTATGTTTAAATTCAATTGTTGTGTTCTGCGTAAAACCTCTCCAAGGAGTTATTCAATAGCTTATTACATAGACAAACCTTGTTTCTGTGGTGGTGGGGATGATGATAACATTGTATTTGTCACATGCGCTGAATACAACAGGTGTCAAGTTAACCGTGAAATGCCTACTTATGAGCCATTTCCCAACAATGCCGAGTTAAAAAGTATGAAAAGTTTAGCAAAAAAATTAAAATATATATACAGTATATATAAATAAGGAAATGGTAATAATAGCGAGGCTATACACAAGGAGTGCAGGTACCGAGTCAATGTGCAGGGATATGAGGTAGTTGAGATAATATGTAAAGTGACTAGGCAATTAGGATATATAATAAACAAGAGTAGCAGCAGCGTATGTGAAGAGTGTGTATGTGTGAGTGTGTGTTTTGTGTGTGTGTGTGTTTTGTGTGTGAGCGTACAGTTGAAGTCGGAAGTTTACATACACTTAGGTTGGAGTCATTAAAACTCGTTTTTCAACCACTCCACAAATTTCTTGTTAACAAACTATAGTTTTGGCAAGTCGGTTAGGACATCTACTTTGTGAAGGACACAAGTAATTTTTCAAACAATTGTTTACAGACAGATTATTTCACTTATAATTCACTGTATCACAATTCCAGTTGGTCAGAAGTTTACATACACTAAGTTGACTGTGCATTTAAACAGCTTGCAAAATTCCAGAAAATGATTTCATGGCTTTAGAAGCTTCTGATAGGCTAATTGGCATTATTTGAGTCAATTGGAGGTGTACCTGTGGATGTATTTCAAGGCCTACCTTCAAACTCAGTGCCTCTTTGCTCGACATCATGGGAGAATCAAAAGAAATCACCCAAGACCTCAGAAAAAATATTGTAGACCTCCACAAGTCTGGTTCATCCTTGGGAGCAATTTCCAAACACCTGAAGGTACCACACTCATCTGTACAAACAATAGTATGCAAGTATAAACACCATGGGACCATGCAGCCGTCATACTGCTCAGGAAGGAGACGCGTTCTGTCTCCTAGAGATGAACGTACTTTGGTGCGAAAAGTGCAAATCAATCCCAGAAAACAGCAAAGGACCTTGTGAAGATGCTGGAGGAAACAGGTACAAAAGTATCTATATCCACAGTAAAACGAGTCCTATATCGACATAACCTGAAAGGTCGCTCAGCAAGGAAGAAGCCACTGCTCCAAAACCGCCATAAAAAACCAGACTACGGTTTGCAACTGCACATGGGGACAAAGATCGTACTTTTTGGAGAAATGTCCTCTGGTCTGATGAAACAAATATATAACTGTTTGGCCATAATGACCATTGTTATGTTTGGATTAAAAAGGGGGAGGCTTGCAAGCCGAAGAACACCATCCCAACCGTGAAGCACGGGGGTGGCAGCATCATGATGTGGGGGTGCTTTGCTGCAGGAGGGACTGGTGCACTTCATAAAATAGATGGCATCATGAGGAAGGAAAATTATGTGGATATATTGAAGCAACATCTCAAGACATCAGTCAGGAAGTTAAAGCTTGGTCGCAAATGGGTCTTCCAAATGGACAATGACTCCAAGCATACTTCCAAAGTTGTGGCAAAATGGCTTAAGGACAACAAAGTCAAGGTATTGGAGTGGCCATCACAAAGCCCTGACCTCAATCCTATAGAAAATGTGTAGGCAGAACTGAAAAAGCATGTGCGAGTAAGGAGGCCTACAAACCTGACTCAGTTACACCAGCTCTGTCAGGAGGAATGGGCCAAAATTCACCCAACTTATTGTGGGAAGCTTGTGGAAGGCTACCCGAAACGTTTGACCCAAGTTAAACAATTTAAAGGCATTTCTACCAAATACTAATTGAGTGTATGTAAACTTCTGACCCACTGGGAATGTGATGAAAGAAATAAAAGCTGAAATAAATCATTCTCTCTACTATTATTCTGACATTTCACGTTCTTAGAATAAAAAGGTGATCCTAACTGACCTAAGACAGGGAATTTTTACTAGGATTAAATGTCAGGAATTGTGAAAAACTGAGTTTAAATGTATGTGGCTAAGGTGCATAGAGCCAGTGCAAAAATATATTTATAAGGGGGTCAATGCAAATAGTCCAGGTAGCCATTTGATTAACTGTTCAGCAGTCTTATGGCTTGCGGGTAGAAGCTGTTCAGGAGCCTTTTGGTCCCAGACTTGGGACTCCGGTACCGCTTGCCGTGCGGTAGCAGAGAGAACAGTCTATGACCTGGGTGGCTGGAGTCTTTGACAATTGTTAGGGCCTTCCTCTGACACCGCCTTGTATAGAGGTCCTGGATGGCAGGGAGCTCAGCCCCAGTGATGTACTAGGCCGTACTCACTACCCTCTGTAGCGCCTTACGGTCAGATGCCAAGCAGTTGCCATACCAAGCGGGAATGCAGCCAGTCAAGATGTTCTCAATGGTGCAGCTGTATAACTTTTTGAGGATCTAAGGACCCATACCAAATCTTTTCAGCCTCCTGAGGGGGAAGCGGTGTTGTTGTGCCCTCCTCACGACTGTGTTGGTGTGTTTGGACCATGGCAGGTCCTTAGTGATGTGGACACCGAGGAACTTGAAGCTCTCGACCCGCTCCACTACAGCCCTGTCGATGTGAATGGGGCGTGCTCGGCCCTCTGTTTCCTGTAGTCCACGATGAGTTCCTTTGTCTTGCTGACGTTGAGGGACCGGTTGTTGTCCTTGCACCACACTGCCAGATCTCTAACCTCCTCCCTGTAGGCTGTCTCATCGTCGTCTGTGACCAGACCAACCACCGTCGTGTCGTGGCAAACTTAATGATGGTGTTGGAGTCATGCGCGGCCACGCAGTTGTGGGTGAACAGGGAGTACAGGAGGGGACTAAGCACGCAGCCCTGAGGGGACCCCGTGTTGAGCGTCAGCGTGGCGGATGTGTTGTTGCCTACCCTCACCACCTGGGGGCGGCCCGTCAGGATGTCCAGAATCCAGTTGCAGAGGGAGGTGTTTAGTCCCAGGGTCCTTATCTTAGTGATGAGTTTGGAGGTCACTATTGTGTTAAACGCTGAGCTGTAGTCAATGAACAGCATTATCACGTAGGTATTCCTTTTGTCCAGGTGTGAAAATGCAGTGTGGAGTGCAATAGAGATTGTGTCATCTGTGGATCTGTTGGGGCGGTATGCGAATTGGAGTGGGTCCAGGGTGTCTGGGATGATGGTGTTGATGTGAGCCATGACCAGCCTTTCAAAGCATTTCATGGTTACAGATGTGAGTGCTATGGGGCGATAGTCATTTGGACAGGTTACCTTGGTGTTCCTGGGCACAGGGACTATGATGGTCTGCTTGAAACATGTAGGTATTACAGACTGGGTCAGGGAGAGGTTGAAAATGTAAGTGAAGACACTTGCCAGCTGCTCAGTGCATGCTCTGAGTATGTGTCCTGGTAATCCATCTGGCCCTGCGGCCTTGTGAATGTTAAGCTGTTTAAAGGTCTTACTCACATCGGCTACGGAGAGTGTGAGCACAGAGTCATCCGGAACAGCTGGTGTATGCATGGTTCAGTGTTGCTTGCCTCAAAGCGAGCATAGAAGGTATTTAGCTTGTCTGGTAGGCTCGCGTCACTGGACCACTCGCAGGTGGGTTTCCCTTTGTAATCTGTGATAGTTTGCTGCCACATCCGATGAGCGTCAGAGCCGGTGTAGTAGGATTCGATCTTGGACCTGTATATCCACTTTGCCTGTTTAATGGTTCGTCTGAGGGCGTAGCTGTATTTCTTATAAGCGTCCGGATTAGTGTCCCACTCCTTGAAAACGGACGCTCTAGCCTTTTGCTCAGTGCGGATGTTGCCTGTAGTTCATGGCTTCTGGTTGGGATATGTAAGTACGGTCACTGTGGGGAAGACGTTGTCGATGCACTTATTAATGAAGCCAGTAACTGATGTGGTAAATTCCTCAATGCCATCGGATGAATCCCGGAACATATTCCAGCCTGTGCTAGCGAAACAGTCCTGTAGCTTAGCATCCACTTTACCGGACCACTTCCGTATTGAACACGTCACTTGTACTTCCTGTTTGAGTTTTTGCTTGTAAGCAGAAATCAGGAGGACAGAGTTATGGTCAGATTTGCCAAACGGAGGGTGAGGGAGAGATTTTTATGTGTCTCTGTGTGTGGAGTAAAGGTGATCTACAGTTTTTTCTCCTATAGTTGCACAGGTGATATGCTGGTAGAAATGAGGTAAAACGGATGATCATGATGATGATGATGAGTATTTATGAATGATATTACTGAATAGGCTTAAACCTTTTTTTGATCCAACATAACATACTGTAGCCTACCACATCTGCTCCAGATACTTTTAATGCAATCTTGCAACCATAGTCTATAATAGGCTACGAAGCTGTAGGCCTACTACCTCCCTCTCTAATCAGCATTTACCCCCTCCAAAAGTTAACAGAGGACAAATGAGCTGCCACCTGTCAGTCAACCAAGCATTGATACACTATTGGTCCGCGAGCGAGGAAGGGGCCGAGAGGACCCTCCCCCAGCCAGATGTGAGCGAGCGTCTGTTTCCAGTCCGCACCTCTGGCTTCAGATGAGCACGGAGCCTCCTGCAGGCACACGGACAGCCAGAATACCACAGCTGTGCCTCTGCCTCGGACTCCGGACTCTAGCGCTGCAGACGCGGGTCCCCACTGTCTACGCTGAGCCTGTGCAGCAGCGGCTGCATTCGCTCTGCTACTGCTCTGCTTGCTGTACTTCGCCGCTCCCA